AGCCCCTACACTACCCACTCACAGTACACCCCCGCGCGCGTGCGACACGCCGACCATGCATGCACTCACATCTCATCCTTTTTCTTGTTAGATTGGGGGTATCATGTCCGGTTTCTATACAAGCAGAGTGACGTCACGGAGATAGAAGAAATTAAAAAAAACATTCTTGGAAAAAAATACGCACGAAAACACACACCAAACTACACACGCACTCGAGCGCGCGCACACACATACACATACACACAGACACACCCATGATGAAGAGAGAGAGAGAGAGAGAGAGAGAGAGAGAGAGCGCCGGTAGACTTCTTGTTTTTAGCCTTTAAAAATAAATAATATTTTGCTAATTATTAGGCTAAATAATTGATATTATTATTTTGCGCTTGTATTTTGCTGCTGTTCTAATCTATATAAATAGATCCATGATCTTCATTTACAAAATTTTGAAGACTCGACATGGGTCTGACAAAAAACCTCGCCACAACTGCGTGTATCACAGACATTGTACTGATAAAATAATGTTGAATCTCATAATACAAGTCTATGGTGGGTGAACTCAATAGGCGAAGGCCGTAATTAACCGACTCAAAGCCTTATAGCCTAGTACTTATACATGTACTTATGTTAAATATAAGGAAATAAATTTTAATATTCTATACCTAGGCTAGCCTAGGACTATGCTCAAAACAGACATCGGATAAAAATACGAAACGGTAGTGCTCTCCCCTGTTTAGTTCCGGTTGCAAATTCAATATGGATTCCATGAGAGAGTTTGCTAATCTGGAGTACAGGGGAGAAGGAAACTGTGCTATTGTTTTAGCCAGTAAAAAGGTTGGTTTTATAGCATAGTAAAATGATAGATATCATGCTGTTCATCCAATAACAGTAAGATAATTATGTATAATCATCATTCTCAGCCACACGAACGGCTCAAAGTGCGAAGGACAGAGCTCTTTAAATCAAAAAAATTCTGGCAGATTAATTCAATGAAGGATTGAATGAAGGCGAGTGCCAGCCTAATGTTTACGTTACTATACTAGACTAGATCTATATTCTCGCAAATTGCGCGAGTTTGTGTGCAGGCCATTTAGTCTTTTTTTCTGAAGAATTACCAAATTTCCTTCTTTATTGGTTGCTAAAGACCAGTGTTTACCCTGGGACTGTTAGTGTTGTTATAATTATGGTGATCTTGTACGTTCGTTAAAGTCCACGATCCATTTGTTTACATCCAGAGAAGAAATCCAGAAGTCTTGAAGACCAAATACTATTTGAATTAGGCTGCACAAAGAGCAGGGATGCAACCTAACTGCAAAACATCAAATTAGGATTAAATTCAGGGGGGCACCCCCTGAACCCCCCCCACCTCCATGTTTTTATTAGGTCAGGGGGGCAAGCCCCCCTGAAACCGCCCTACTCTTGACTTTAACGAACGAAACTACAAAATCGCCAAAATTATTAGCCTGTTGTTAGCAGTTTGAGTTGTGTACCCTGGCTTGACCCTGGTCCTGCGGGAGCTAGCTTTGGAAGGACTTCCGTAACGAGCGACCACCCCATCAAACACAATAAAGAAGAGGCCTAGACCTAACCCTAACCCTACCCCGGCCCTACCCCTAACCCTACCCCTAGATCTAAACCTAACCCTACCCTTACCCCTACCCCTACCCCAAGCCCTCAATTCTGCTCTGTCTCATAGTGGTCGCTCGTTACAGAAGTCCTCCCCTAGCTTTATATTATATTCTCCGATAAGCGTATTTCGGTACCTCGCCTTCGTTTCTGTCCTGTGTCAGTCGGGCCCTGGCTCAGCGCATGCGCGCGGAGCATCATTTGCGTGATGACTGGGTCCCATAGCCTAATCCGCAGTTCAAGTGTGTGTGTGCATCAGTCTAAGTTTGTGTATGCATTTGTGGCCTACTTACTGCCAGCGTTGGTTCGTAACCGAGGCATATACGTCTCATTCAAAACTCGCCAAGCTGGTAGCTCTTGATGTTCATCCAATGAAATGAGAACAAATTGACTAATTAGAACACAATGCCCACCGAGCGCGTTTTGTTCTCTGCCGATTTTTGGCCCCCGCCGCGGGGGTGTTTTGTGGGACGAACTAACGCAATGGTTGTTGTCTTCAACTCGCTCTCGCCCCGCTTCTCGTGAATGGATATGAATGAACTTTGGCAGCCAATCAGAAAAAAGAGGTCTATCTCATAGTATGATTGACTTTGACAAGTTTGTACCCATCCAAGAAGCAGTAAAATTTTTTTACGAAAGTGGTTGATGTGGAGGATACTTGAAAACTAAACAGGGGCCTTAATAACTTGCATTTGTTTTGCATTTTAGTCACAATACAAGTCATTTCATTTGTTTAATTGCATGAGAGAAGCACAAGAAACACAAAAAAGCAAACATCTTGAGAAGTGGTATGGCATTGTGTTTGCGTTATGAAAGCCTGTTCCTCCCTCTTGGGAAAGCACACACTTGGACTCGTCCTGTTTACTCTGTTTGGAAAAGTGAGGCATTAGATAAAAGATTGTTATTAAAGTGTAATATTTAGTCCAGTCTGGGAAGATAGTCCCGTTTATACATTGTTGTAGTTCATGCGTGCGTACGTGAGTGCGTGCGTGTACGTGTGTGCGTGTGTGTATGTGAGAGAGAGAGAGAGAGAGAGAGAGAGAGAGAGAGAGAGAGAGAGAAAGAGAGGGGGGGTCTATATCTGTTACATTTTTATATATGAGTGGTAGCCTACACATGCGAAATATTCCCATTACTTTGTAAACTATTTACACTGTCCCACAATGGATATATATTATATATATACAGAGATGATCTTATTTTCTATTACAAAGTGTGCATGCTTTTAGTAGTAGAGAACTGGATTTATTAGACTAATTAATCCAGCTGTCTACTTACATTTTGTGACAAATTAATCCAGAGCATTGCTTGGCATGGAGGAATCTTTTATGTTGCCAAGTTTCATTCATATATCATGACTTTGGGAGAAGATATATGACTGATAATCTTTGTAAATCTGTAAAGAATGCCACTTTTTTACCTGTAAATGTCTTTACAGCTCAAAAAGTATCTAGATATTAAAAATCTGACAGCATGACTAGATTCTGCATTAAAAAGTGTACTAGACTGCCAAGTTTCATTTACATACTCCAAGAAATAGGCAAGCTATGACAAATATTTTCTCAAAACGCACCGAAAACCGCCACATTTTTACCTTTAAGCGCCTTCATAACTCAAAAAGTAGGATAGCTATGAAAAATCTGAAAGCAGGACTAGATTCTGCACTCGAAAATGTACTGGGTTGCCAAGTTTCATTTATATACTCAGAGAAATGAACGAGTTATTACAAATATTGTCTCAGAACTCATCCAAGAACGTCCCATATTTTGGGGTTTATTCATTATAATATAAAAATGTACCAAAAATTAATTGATTAAAAAATTCGTAACTTTTTTGTTTATTGATGGATTTAAAAAATTCAGAAAGTTCCATGCTCTGTGAAGATACGCTACAAAATGCACATATTTGCAAACACTTTCTGACAAAAAAAAAGATTTTTCATTGTCATTGTTAAATTGACCCACTTAGACGTGAGGTGCTCGAAAGGATAGCCATGAAATTAATACTTTCATTTTTCTATACAAAATCTTTCAAATGAGCTTGATTTTATATTTAAAATGATATTACCTGATCAAAATAAGCTTATTTGATGGTTTTGAATACCATTATGCTGGAAAAAAGAACAATTTGAGAGCAAAATATTTGGAAATTTACGTGAATTATATTCCGTATTACTCCCTTTCGAACCCCATCATTCGTAACAACAAGAGCGTGTAAAAAAGTTATTCGAATGGGCTTAACTACTTGTAATGTCTTATCAGCTTATGAGAGGGGCCTATACATGATGTTTCCGTAACACTTTATAAACAGAAAGCTATAAAAGATAAAACATTATTTTTATCATCAATTAATAATACCGCGTCACTATTCACAGCGAAAACACACGTTTCAAGTGCCGCTCGCTACACAACAAAATTTGTATTGTCCCCCTGGGGTCTGGCAGTGAGTTGTTTGATCAATTATTAGCTGACCAAAAAGGCAAAGTCATGGTTATTTGGGGTTCCAGTTTTCCTAGAATTTAGAATATTTCCTGTGGGTCTTCAAGTCCTTAAATGCAGTGCTTTGGAAGGTTTTCATCTGATTAAATAAAAAAAAACCCTAGAAAAACATCTTCCTCTCACAGTCGCCTAATTTGATTTTTTTCTTTATTTTTCTCTTTTTGTGTTTCCTTCCCCCACCCTGTGCATTATCTTGTACTTACACATGTTCTCTTTTATAAATTCATTGTTTGGTGCGATTTTGAACATTGATCCAATGGTACTATTACCTTACACTCTCTCTGCAACTGCCATTTCTTGATGCCATTTCTTTTTCCTATGACATAAAATGTGTATTAGAAAAACACAAACATTACTTTCAGTCGGAATTTTTTTTACAGTGCTTACTGCGTTGTTTCCTTAGTTCATTTCTTCTCATTAAGATAATTTTTTGTTCATGATTCATTATTAATTCTGTCCATTTTTACTAGATCTAGTCACTGATTTAGCTGTTTTACTTAAAGTGTTTGGTCATTTCATTTACTCACTTTGTCTACTACTAAATCTACTTTATAGTTAGTAGGCCTGTACCAAATTTCCTGCGGATCAAAAATTAAAGTTGCACAGCTATCTCATTAAGTATTGTTGATTTATGAAGGAGGGTGTAATGATCTGATAATATTTAATTTAACTGAGCGTGTTAGGATTGTGTTATGAGTTTTTTGTTCTCTGAAGTGGAGCCTGTTTTTGAAATTTTTACCATTGAACCTTTATATTTATTTGGTGAAAATGTGGTATAATGTTCATTGATTTTTATTATTGTCTTGAATGATCTGAGAAGAAAGAAAAATGCTTGAACTCCAATTATACCTATTGTGTTGTATACAGCTTTTCTAGTTGTACAGTCCAACCTGCCTTAACGGAAACCTGTATAAAACGGAAACCTGTCTTAACGGAATCTCCCCGCTCCCCCCTTGATATATTCCTCTTTAATTACCTGTATAAAGCGGAAACCTGTCCAACGCGGAAACGGAAAAAAAATCCGCTCCCTTCCGAGGGTTTCACCTGTCTAAGACAACTCGTAAGTTTGGTTCCGCTGGCTCTAAACTAACGCTATGGTCATGCGGCTGGGCGAGGAAGGGGAGTAGGGGTGCAATTTGGGGGTAGATGTTTGCCCTGAGCGATGCAGATGGTCAGTGGAGTGTGGGTGTGAAATCTCACGACTGCCCATGAGAGTGCTCGAGGAGCCAGCCACTACTGAAACTTTCCTGGGTCTAGAAAGAAGCCAGAGGTATGAAATTAGATTGACCAATGCCTGCCGCCTTGATTGTACGGCCAGCCGAGAAAAGAGTTTCTTGAATCGTTGTTACAATGATGGAAGCGAGGGGTGGCATTGGTGGGTGGGGCTAAGGATGGAAGCAAGGGAGATGTTCAAACGTTTCTGTTTTTAATAGGTCAAACAGTGGTCCTTTGAAAGGCAAGCACTGGTGGTAATTGGATATATAAGTAAGACTGACGCATGTCATTATCAGACAGGATAGCAATTGAGAAGTGTGAAGTTTTGATCACTGCTTGCCGATCGGACAAGCGATCCTTGACCCCACCGGTTGGGCCTTTGACCACCCCTCCCCCCCAGCCCATAACCTCCATCTCCCCCTAAATCCCCCTGTCTAAGACGGAAAATGTTTAAGACGCAATTTTTTTCTGGCTCCCTTGCGATTCCGTCTTACACAGGTTCGACTAGATATCTAGTTATAAAAATATTTTGGTAAAATTCTCGATGCATGTAAAAGACATGAGTTTGATTCCCTTATGAAAAAATTTTGTTTGATCCAGTATCTCTGTCTCTAGGGATGTTTTATCCCAATCAGCATTGGATATATTATTCCTGACAGGCAGGGTCGAAGCAACCCGCCTCTTTGTATTCTAAATAGTTTTTATGCATGATAAAACATTTACAGGGGGCTCTCGTGGCCTAGAGGTATTCGCTTCTCACTCAATTTGCCCCGGGTTCGAATCCGGATAGCGACGAAAATTTTTCTTCTCTTAAATTGTCTCCTTTCACTTCCTTTCCTGCTCTATGTTCTGTCGTTTGCTTTAGTCTTCACTTTCTTCTTCCACCCCTTCCCCTCATTTGCCCCCTCCTCTGGGCTCCTGACTCTCTCTGCAGCCTTTCTACTGCTCCTCCTTGGCTGCCTTTCTGCAACACCCCTGATCTTATGGTTACGGTAGGTAATATTTAATGTACTTAGCCTTCTCGGACAAGGGCGAAAAATCTCGGAGGTCCCGTGTGCAAGTTACACACGTTAAAGATCCCTTGGTGGTACAAAATTGGTAAGAGTAGGCCTCGGCCGCCACTCGGGCAAAATTAAAAATTTCCTAGCAACTGAAAATGTTTAATGTGTCCTGCGCACTCATATGACCTTATGCAGTTGAGAGCGCCGTAAAACAATTACCTAAAAAAAAAAGGAAAACATTTACCACCATATCAGTAAAAATATATACTCATGTATTTGCTGTTTTTATTGTGCAAAGGGAATAATAATCTCTCTTTTCCTTCATATTATCAGACAAAACAAGTTTACCGCTTGGTCAAGTGTAAAGCTACACAAAAGATCAAGAAAAAGTTGGAAAGAAACAGTGATTGTGGTCTTTCAAACTCAGATGCAAAGGTAGGTTCTAAAGTCTTTGAATGCTTTTCATGTTTACCCTGTTTGGTAAGAATTTACCATTTATTTACAGTATGAAATTTAGAATTTGGAACAAACACCTTGTTTTTATTCGTATAAAAAACCCCAATGGATCACAAAATAGTATTGCGTGGACACGCAGTACAATAGTTTTCAAAAGAAAGTAGGGCAAAATATAACAAAATATTGTCTGTTCTCATTGCCCACATTTTTTCGTTCAGTGTTCAGTTTGTTGTTCATCTTAATATGTTGCTGCTTGAGCGTTATAGTGAAGTAGAAAGGCAGTTTATTCCTGTACTGACATTGGATCAGAATGCCGCTCCTCTGAAATGACCTGTCAATGTCAAGTAAAATAGTTTTAATATGTTATGGCATCGTGGTGAAATCAGGCGCCCATCAAAATAATAAAATCAAAGAAAAACATTTTTCCATCCTTTGGGCAATTTTCATCAAATTTTTATTTTTGACTGAACACCTTTTATGTACATTAAAAACCCCCATTTCTTTGTGTATTTTGATGAAAAAAGTTGATGAAAGGCAAACAAAATCATTTGAAATGTAAATTTGCAGTTTCCGAGGATACTCAAACTTGGAAGTCACCAAATTTAGGTGCCCATTTCTCACTAATTTAACCCCTGACACCAGACAACCTCAACCTCCTTCAATTGTAAATATCTTGACTGCTCTTTAAGATGAATGGGTATTATTTTCATCAAAAGCAGGACAAATCAATTTATAAGCTTTATTTATGATGCCAATAACTCCATATATGCCCAAAACTTGATGAGCGCTTGATTACACTGTATTATGACACACACACGCGCGCGCGCGCACGCACGCGCACGCACGCACACACACACACACGCGCATGCACACCCACTCACGCGCGTGCGCTCACACACTCACGCACAGGCTCATGCACACACCCACATACGCACACACACACAACTTATATACGTTCACGTGTGTTTCTCAGAGTATCCAGAGTGCCATCAGAGCTGAGCTGGACGATGTGATCAGCTACATGAACAATGTGATAAAGCCTCTCATGTCGGAGCAGTATGTCGTTACTCCAGTAAGTTGTTTTTCTTCTTGTGTGGGTAGAACAACTCAATGTGTTATGACTGGGCCCTTTTAGTTCCATAAAATATTTCATATAGACATGCTGTCTTAATTTAATGAAAGTTTTTATTTATTAAAATTAAGAGTATTTTTGTTTCGCGCACCTGATACTGTTAACTCTTCTTGTTGAAATTCACGAAAAGCCTTTTTGCTCTGCTATTATA